GCCCCGCTGATCAACTGGGCGAAAATGTGGGCTTCCGGATGATCGGTCCCCCCAATCATCCCGAAGCCCATATTTTAGCCCAGCTGATTGGCGGGGCTTCGGGATGATGGGGGGAGCGCTTCCCCTCCCATCCTCCCGAAGCCCCGCTGATCAGCTGGGCAAAAATGGCGGCTTTGGGATGATGGGAGGAAGGGCTTCCCCCCATCATCCCGAAGCCGCGCCGATCAGCTGGGCGAAAATGTCAGTGGTGGCTTTGGGAGGACGGAGGAGTGCTCCCCCACATTCCTCCCAAAGGCCACATTTTCGCACAGCTGATCAGCGGTTCCAAAATGGCCGCCCAGCCCCGCTGATCAGCTGGGCAAAAATGGCGGCTTTGGGATGATGGGAGGAAGGGCTTCCCCCCATCATCCCGAAGCCGCGCCGATCAGCTGGGCGAAAATGTCAGTGGTGGCTTTGGGAGGACGGAGGAGTGCTCCCCCACATTCCTCCCAAAGGCCACATTTTCGCACAGCTGATCAGCGGTTCCAAAATGGCCGCCCGTGTGTTGCCTCGCTTTAGAGGCACCGAAAATGGCCACCCCTATGGAGGATTTTCACATAAGGTGAGTTTTTAAGCCCATAGGAATGCATTAAATGCATTTTAATGCATTCCTATGGGCTTTTTTATTTCGCATAGCGACGAATTCGGATAGCGACGATTTTCTGGAACAGATTATCGTCGCTATGCGGGGCACCACTGTATTTTAAAAAATTTGGTGTTGATGTTATCAGCAGTGTCAACAGAATTTGTATGATGAGCACCAACATCAACCTAATTAATTAACCTGAGTTTGATTCACTTGTTCACTGGCAGAGAAACTGATTGGCATGAACCCAGCAAACTAACTGTGATTGGTCTGTCAAGCAAATAATGTCATCTTTATTATTTGGCAACATATTGTATAATGTGCATACATCTGTGAGTCTATTCTAAAAATTTCTTCTCCTTTTATCCCTTTATCAATGTAAAAGCACAGAAAAGAAAATAGTCAAGTCTAGGGAGCATGTAGTCTTGTTTACCATTGCTTGAGAATGAAAAAAGATAGACATATTCATTCTAAAACAACAGTTTAACTGTCCAGGTATTGGGATTTTGAAAAGGGAAGAGGCTTGGTCCAGCTGGTGAGAAATAATTTCATTCCCCTGAGCACACTTTAAGAACTAAGAGGCCAAATCTTCATGTACAAGAGTTAAAGTGGATGACTTTGCCAGAAGCCAGGATGATAGCTAGAACCCAACTGAACATGGAACAGAAATCAGTCATTCTGCTTTGTCAATAAAATTAATTCTTTACATCAGTTTCAGTGGACAAGACATTACTGTGTAGAACAAGCCAGTGCTGCATTGAGCATCACAAAGGAGATGCTTATCACAATACAAAATCTAAAGTTAAGGTTACTAACCTAGTATAAAAGCGGCACTTTCCTAATGGATTCTTGAAAGTTAGTTTTATACAGTGGGAGTGGGCAAACTCCAGTCTTGTGTGTTCTATTGTGTCTTTTATTTTGTCACTCAACACCAATGATCCAGAAACTTGTTGAAACACTAAAATGGAATAGAACTCACAGATCTTAAACCCATGCATCCAATTTGTGATTCCTCCAATATTTCTTCATTTCAGCCATATAACGTAATAAATGAGTCTTTTGGTTGTTCTTATTGCTAAAAAGAGAGGAGGGAGGAATCAGAAATCTTTGCTGATATACTGCAACTCACCCAGATATTTACCAATAGATCCTGGAACAACATGCCTAAGCAAAAAAAATGTTGCTCTGAGATTCAATTCAGGCTTCAGAGATCCTTGAAATATTTTGTCACAGGAACACAATTGAAGTGTTCTCGGCTCAACGGGTAGGGAGGAAGGTCAGCTTCACCTCCACATTCCCCCCATCCCAGAAGTCTGTGCAGTATTAAGGTAATCCCTTGATGTGAAGGGATAAAATACCGTGCAAGGTTTCACTTCACCCAGCGAACCACAGTTCATAGGGAAGGTTAAAGTCTGAAGAAATGGATTGCAGTCCAAGAATGCATACCATGAAATAAATCTGTTAGCCTTTAAAATGTGACAATCCTTCATTTTTAGTTTCACAATAAATATTAAAACAGATCAACATGAATACCACTGAAAATAGTTTTTCAGTCTATTTAGAGTATTTATTAGTTGTTCAATTTTTAATTCACCTTTTCCCCCTGAAACTATATATATATATACAGTGGTGCCTCACATAACGAGCATACCGTTTAACGATGAATCTGCATAGCGATCTATTTTTTTGGGATCTCTAATGCAATCGCATTGCGATGTTTTAATAGCCTAAACATCGCATTACGATGATCGGTAAGCGTTTCGCTTACCGATCTTCGCATTGCGATGTTTGCGGAACAGCTGATCGGCAGTTCCAAAATGGCCGCCTGGTGCCCAAAATGGCCACCGCAACCATTTTCGCACGATTTCCTCGCTTACTGAGGCTGCGAAAATGGCGGCACTATGGAGGATATTCGCATAACGGGGAGTTTTCACCCCATAGGAACACATTAAACGAAAAGAAAATAGTTTCCCCCCCCCACCTTGCGATGTTTCCCGGTAGCGACGATTAATCCGGAACGGATTAACGTCGCTATGCGGGGCACCACTGTATGTATGTGTGTGTGTGTGTGTGTGTGTGTGTGTGTGTGTGTGTGTGTATAATCAGACAACACACACAGCACAGTAGTGGAAGCTAACAATGATTCCACAAGGATTTGTGCCTGAGCAATCAGATGTTTGCATGGAACCTCTGCTTACTTTTCAATGCCAATTACAAAAACAAAGCAAGAAAATTTACAGGATGCTGGAGGTAAGAAAGTGCATGCTTTGATCAGACTGCCTTCAGCACTTTAGTAATTTCTGCTTCTATCTGTATCATACAGCTTGAGCCTCAAAGCTCAGGTTCTCGAGAGTTCTTCTATGGGACGTCCCTGCTAAAACAAATATTAACTATTTATGACTATAGTTAAGGAGAACATATAATCATATATTATGGGGGGCTGAGGGTTAATATTAGTTGTTTCTTATAATAAAGAAAAAGTTGAATGGGTCCTGATTTATAAAGGCTCTTAGGAGAGGTGGTGAATAAGCTTTTCTCATGCCATTTTCCTGATTTAAACAGGAGGGAGAGAAAAGATACCAACACTTCTATTCAGTGTACAAGAAGGGCAACATGCACGTAACCCTATTGCAGAGAATGAGAGCTAACATACCAAAGTCTAGTCGTTGAGAAGCAGCCCAGGCATACATAGAAACAAGCTTGTCTCCATTTTGACTGGAAACAATAAGCAACAGTAAATCAGTCAGCAGTCTGACTGGGAAACAAGTTGTTCGTAGCCAATGAATTTAAAGGAAAGCTAACCATTCAGAACATAGTGCCCTGTATTTATTTAGCAGATCTAAGTCCTGGACATGCATCATTTATTCTTCTGAAATGTGGAAATATTCATGGAAATAGTAAGGAAGGTTTTACATATCCTTACTCTGGGCCTTAAAGATAGCTACGTGAGCCAAGGTGACACGTATTCCTATTCATTCTGTGAAAAACTTACTGTTTTCAAATCAAAGGAACAAGTGGAACAGATTCTCAAGGTACCCCACATGTTTTGAAAACATTTCCAGCACTAAACAATAAAGCAGGTTTACAATAAAATATTTCTATAAATTCTTTGAACTATAAATGCATCTCAGTTTGGCAAAGAAGCAGCTTTCTGAAGTAACTGGCATAAGAAACTGGAGCTACAGTAAAAACTTAGCAGCCACTAAAACACTTCAAAAGAAAGATTTAGCCTGAATGGGTTAGCCTTGGTTTATAGCAATCTGAAGAATATTCATTGACTTTATATATGGAGTCCTGCTGAATACTTTTAAGATAAAACATTAACAAAGCATGCCCCCTTAGGACATGATATTTTGAAAGTTAAACATGTAAGGCAGATGTAAATATAGATAAAGTTATAAGAATGGCTAATAAATAGAAGTGTTTAAGCAAAATATTTCAGCTTCCGCATTCTTCCACCTGGTAAAAATATGGTGTTTTGAAGGTGGCAGTTATACAACCTATGGGACAGGGTATTCTAAAGCAGATGAATGATATCATGTGTTGTCTTCTACAGTTCAGGTCATGAGGTGTTAAGGTTGCTAGTAGCAATAAAGTGATAAGCCTTCAGTCCATTCCTCTCTGGTAAATAAAGCATCCCCGACACAAATCTCTGCCAGCGAGGGCACATACCCCCCAACAATCTCAACAGAGATTATTTACAGTTTTGGATTTCGATTACTTCACATTTTTTGGAACTGCTACAACCTGCAGTGGGTCTTGTAAGACAAAAGCTGTCCTTTAACCGCAAGAGTTTGGCCATGTCTAACTGAAAAGGACACTTCATCAACATTTGTTTCTTTCCTGAACATGTGTTTAATATTTCAACTTTACTCTGAAAGTATCCACAAACTGCTACTACCACTAAAAATGCTGACCAAAAGATAATCCTGAGCAGCAACAGTGGTACATGTCTTGACGTTGGACTGCAGTTTTTCTCCAAATTAGATGTGTGTTTGTGTCTATATATATATATATGGAGAAAACAAGCTTGAAGAACAGGCAATAGAAGAGAACGTAGTGTTGTTCAGTCACAAAAGCCATCAAAATTTATTGCAACCAGGATACTGCTCTCATACGTCTTCTAAGCCTCATGGATCCTGCCGTGCATGACAACTGATTGTGTAAAATAAAAAATGCAAACAAGAGCCTATTTTGTGGTGTATGTGCCAATATATTTTGTGTATTGTTTATTTGCTACAATAATTTCTGTGAATTTGAGGTGATCATGTAATATTTTCTTATATAAATACAGACTAGTTCATTAAAGCAATGTAACTTTTACCTGCAGTAGTTCCCAGGATAAAAATATTCTCTTCACACCATCTAGATGTACTTAATATTCAGTCACGTACTTCACACCATTTAGATGTATTTAATACCACAGCAAAACCTGCAGTAGAAGAGACAGACACTAGTTAACAATAAGCATTAGGTTCAAAAGCTTAATTACAGCAAGAAAAACAATCATTAGGTATTTATTTTGCTTCAGCATATCTCTTATGGAAAGGTATGCCAGCTTTTTTTTTTAAAAAAAAGAGATATCCAAATGTTTTGGCTGCCTATCTCATTTTAATTACATGGATCATATTTCAATATTTCAAATTAAGTATCTAAGAACAGACAATGTTTCAACCACAGTATATTTTTACAACTCAAAATGCTAATCGATGAGTTTAATACGTTTGACTAAAAGCTTGGATAGGCAGAGGGAACACATCAAATTTGTACTAATTTATAATTGGCTTTACAGCTTAAACAAATTAATCAAGCTTGCTAATAATGCAGTTTATTTTGCAGTTCAGAATATTTCCTAGCACTATAAGGGCACAGGTTTATATTCCAGATATGCAAGATGTGATGCTAAAGTTCCGCAACATCAAACTCTACCCCGGTCATAATGGAGTAACCTGGAAAGATAAGCAAAAGAACACAATATCCTCCTGTGCGGAGTGTAGGCTGAAGCTCATATTAAAACCTAAAGCAGGCTCATCACCCTGAGAAACTGGAGTTACCAGTCTCTATAGGAGAACTTCTTTGCTTCAGGTTCTGATGTCTGAAAGCGGTCTGCTCCTTGCCCACCTCCATCCAGCCTTCCTCATGTTAACCTTGACCTATCTAGTTCAACTTGAGGAGTGTGGGTACTAATACTCAGAATAGTTTAACAAGCATGCCTGGTAGTATAGGTACATTCATTTATGTGTTTCTTTAACTGTAATAGCAACCTCTTGCAATAAAAGGGAAAGATAAGATTTCCATGTAGAATTTTGCAGTTCAGAATATTTCCTAGCACTACAAGGGTACAGGTTTCCATGTGGACCTGAACAGGTCAAATGTTTTGTCCCGTGTGGATTTGAACCAGCAACTGTTGGCATACCTGCATGGTTATGTGTTCTTTGCATATTGCCAGTTAAGACATTTCAGACAGTTAAGACACTTTCCTCCACTCCCAGTGCTGACAGACATGTACCATAAACCTGCACATCTACTTTCTCCTATATGGAAGGATGTCTGAAACTGTACTTGCCCACATATACAAATTCTATATATGGAGAAATTAATCTAAACCAAATACCTGCAAGGCATTGCAAAGTCTGTGCAATGCTTTAAAGCACTGGTTCTTAACCTTGGGTTACTCAGGAGTTTTGGACTGCAACTTCCAGAAGCCTTCACTACCAGCTGTCCTGACTGGGGTTTCTGGGAGTTGCAGTTCAAAAGCATCGGAGTAACAAAGGTTAAGAACCACTGCTTTAAAGTACTCCATGCAATTCTAGCATACAGTACAGTGGGGTCTTGACTTGAGAACTTAATCCGTATTGGAAGGCGGTTCTCAAGTCAAAAAGTCTGTAAGTCAAGTCTCCGTTGACCTACAGTGCATTGAAAACTGATTAATCCCGTAACAGGCCGTTTTTGTTCCATTTTGGTTTTTTTCTGGTCTGTAAGTCAAATCTCAGTCTGCAAGTCAAACCTAAATTTTGCGGCCAGAGAAGTCTGTAACTCAAAAAGTCTGTAAGTCAAGCCGTCTGTAAGTCAAGGGTCCACTGTATTCTTAATGTTTCAGCCTTCTAGATAAAAGTGAGAGTACTACCTGTACTATAAAATATACCCAATGCCCCAAAATTAAAGAGTGGCATCAAAAATTTGACTAAAATAAAGAATTAAAACTGAATAGAAAAAAAACGAATGAAGCAGAACTTGGTTTAAGTATTAAAGCATTTCATGCATTAACTATGAAGGTTACAAGCCACAGTTCCAGATAGTCTGTAGTTCAGAACGAGAAGACTTCCCTTGCTGAGAATGAAACACAATATTTTTTGCAACACTGAACTCCCACATACAGAATAATCTCTAGCTTACTTCAGCATTTCCAGTTTCTGAAGTTAAGGACAGGGTGCATTATCAAGAACATTTTCTACTCATTTTCTCCAAAATGTGTTCACCAGAAATATTTCCACTAACTATTCCAAAATGATGCATTAATTCATACTATTTATCAAGCACTAATTTAACAAGCTCAGGGGCTGATTTCATGGTTCCCAATTTGGGGTGCTCATTTTTCCAGCAGTCCTTAGAGTAGTAGTCTCCTCATTAAAATGTTTGTCACATACCAAATGACAATAAATCTCAGTGTTCCAAGAAATAAGTACTCGCCAAAACACATAACAGGGGCACCACAGTTATTTCCTGTTCTAAATTTAGAACAGGACTGGGGCATATCTAAGAATATTTTAAGAGCTAGTTAAACAGAAAACACTGTATGTATTTCAGAAAATAGTTTTCCAGCACTTGACCAGGGTACACAAGTTATTTATTTTTAAGAACAAGCAGCAATACACTTTCCTTTTGAACTACTTCATACTCGGCCCAAGTCTTATGGGGAGAAGAGGAGCAGCTTCTCTGACCTGTGGGTGATTGCTATGCCTCCAAGGACCTTACATGTCCACACACATACATAACATTCAACCAAGACCTGCACACTAAGTATATCATTGATGCAAATTCAGATCTTGAACATAAAATCTAGGAAACATCTGCATAGCCAAATTTTATTTATTTATTCATTTATTTTATTTATGCCCCACCTATATGGTCTTGTGACCACTCTAAGCCCTGAATCTTAAACTGTAGAACTCAAATGGATTCAAGGGTCACCTAGACACCCCACTCCAACACCAATGCTGGAAATCCGCATTAGTAGAAGCATTACTAAATATGAACATCCAAGATCTCTCGGAAAACATCCACTCTCCAAGATACTTCCATTCCACTGTTAAAAGCTCCAACTGCCTGGAAGTTCCTTCTAATATTCAGCTGGACTCTCCTTGGGAAATATTTGAATAGTACACAGTTGCAAGAATATCTCAATGAGTCCATGCCAGGGACACATGTTTCTAACTGGACACAAACATTATGGAGGTGGTGAAGAAGATCAGCAATTTTGCAATGGAGTAGTTGTCTTTGATTAGAAGGAGAATGAGGAAGAGGAGGAGGAGGAGGAGACCTTTTTCCTATAATTTCTCTTCATTTAAAGGACCAAACAACAAAAAAATTAAAGAAGGAGAAGGAGGAAGAGGAGGAGGAGGAGATCTTTTTCCAATAATTTCTCTTCATTTAAAGGGTCAAACAACAACAACAAAAAAATTAAAGCAGTATTGTGACATGGTGGGACATGACTGCAGGAAACCTGTCGCTGTGCTTGATTTTAAGACATTTTTCTTTTAAAGGACCACATAAACATTTACACAACAGAGCAGAAATATAACTGCCTTAGAAAATACTAATAACTATTGCCATTTTCTAAGGCAGGTATATGGACCTAGAACTTAGAGCTCCTGGCCTTAGATTATGTCCACTGTCTTTTGGGCAACATAGCTGCAGATATCTGAAAAACATGTGTTCAATTCAGTATACCTCATTTTACTCTCACTGAGAATTCATTTGTACAAACTATACCAAGACAGGTACTTCCAGAGCTGTAAGGAACTTGTGAAGTTATTACAATGGGGTCTTGCATTGTGTTTAACATTCTTTTGGTCTACAGCATTCCAAAATATGGTAAAGTCAGTGTAAGTCAGGATGTGAAGAGAACCTCATAAAACCCCTCAATAGAAATAACAGATCCTATTCTGGGAAAACCTGCATCTAAAGTCTTATTATAACAAAATGTAAGGGAGGCTCATGAAACCAGTGGAAGCACACCTCTATGCAAAATTTCAATATATTGCATGGAAGTAAAGAGTTATTGCTTTCCAAGATCTCTCTACGCTATAATCTACTTCCCTTCCTAAAAATGGTGTAATATTGAACAGTGGCCTAAGCAATAGGTAGATTATAAGAACCACTGGGGTATCATATATTTGTTTACGTTTTTAGAAACCAACAATAGCGCCCATGCAATGCCATAATAACCTTTCTCAGCCTTGGGCATAAAGATATTTTTGCAACTCAGAACAGCCTTGATCATTGTTATGCTGGTTGGGAATGATGAGAGTTGTAGTTCAACAACATCTGGGAACTCAAGGCTGAGTAAGTTTAACAAAGAAATTGACACTCTCTAATACCCTGTGGTGGAAGAATGCAACACAGTGTCCTCCAGATATTTGGATTACTTCTGCCATCAGCCCCAGCCAACGTGGCCTGTAGTAAGGAATTATAGGCTATATAGTCTGAAGCATCGGGAGAGCATGGTGTTGGTTGCCTTCCCTCCCTTAGGGAGAGCTGTATAGTGCTGTTTTCTTATAGACCTTGTGAATGAATTATGAATCCAAGTACAGTGGTGCCTCGCAAGATGAATGCCTCGCAAGACAAAAAAACCTCGCAAGACGAATGGTTTTGGCAATGGGTCGATGACTCGCAAGACAAATGTTCCTATGGCCGTGCTTCACAAGATGAATGTTTTCCTTTTTTTTGTTCCTGCCTCATGTTTGCTGATTTTTAAATGTTTTTCTATGATGTTTAAAAAGTTAACATCATAGAAAACTTTTTGATTGAAATTTCTGAAATCATCTGCACAATATGTATGGCTTTAAAGAGCACTTAATAAACCCTTTGTAGACCAAATTTGACTTTGTTCTGACTTTTTTTGCCCATAGGAAATGCATTAATTAATAATTAATTAAAATAAATAAATAAATAAATAAATAAATTAGATTTCAATGCATTCCTATGGGAAAACGTGTTTCGCAAGATGAATTTTTCACAAGACATTAACCACAGAATGAATTAAATTCGTCTTGCGAGGCACCACTGTACTGATTTTTAGGTGTGTGCAGTCATAATTACAGTCTTTGCTTTTCAGTCTTTAGATTTCTAAGTTTCTGCCTACATGGGAAACAGAATGGTGCAAGGTACTCCAAATACAT